TACGTTCATAATGCAAAGACAAATCGATTTGGGGTCACAAATTGGGCTGTCGTGTTTACCATAACAGTCCCATTATAAAGCTAGAGTTTTATTTCATTTATATGTCAATCACGGACAAAATCAAAACTCTAGATAATGTTATATAATAGTGAGTTTGAATAAAAAATCAAATGCTTTATGGCAATAACTTGTTTTGCAATAACCTAAAAGCAACTCCATATGCAGCGCCTTTTGAATTGTTTTTTCAAAAAGCTGATTGGTTGACTGAATAACGGAAGAAGCAAAGTTAAACTGCTTCTATGAAATATAAGAGGAGTGAAAACTTTCCTTTGTTATTCAACCTTTACATGTTTTTAATGCATAGCGAAAAGGTGCTTGCGACATGACATTAACTTCGAATGGTATTTGTCGCCATTCAACCTAGCACTGTCCTTCAAGACCATGTGTTGACAGAACGTTGAATAGTCTCACCAACCAATTACAAAGTTGTCGATGAGTCGTGAAATTATCAGGTATATATCTTAAAATGTATACCAATAGTATGGATGGTTATATGTGGAATTTTCACTCTAGCTAAACTCGTATATCGATCCATCCAAATGCCGGATTACAGTGTTATCACAATGAAATTTCACATTCGTGTTACACAGTACATTAACACTCCGTCATGCTAAACCTAAACCTTTCTCTTTCGTAAACCTTCTTGTACATTTTCGATATTTTTTTCGTGTAAAGCTTTCCTCCACTTTGGTTTCAATATTACAAATTTGTCGATATTTCCTTGATTTCTTTAGAATTCATCATACTTTGGAGTAAAATATCATTTTCAGTTTCGAGGATGTTGGACTATACTGTAATTTACTATACATTGGTTCTAGCATTCAATGTGTATTTTACAAGATCCATACGTTTAGAAAGTTTACATTTAAAAAATGTGTAACGTAAAGAAAACAATTAAAAGAGTTTTTAAAATTTGCACTGCGTGACTGGTAACCTCACCTCCAATCTAGCTGTAAAGGACAGAACTACAATCTAGATAAGCGCTACACAATATGTTTATATATCAGAACATCCCCGAATGCCAATGACTCAGCAAGTGAAACAAACGTCTACAGAAAATGTCGTTTTGTTCCAGAAAGATTTAATCAAAATAATCTGAAAGTTCTTCAGTCCATTTAATTAATTAGCATTTGCATGCAAATATGTTTGGACAGTGATAACGAGATAGCGTTTGAAATTAATAAAGTCCCATACCATTGTATGTATACAGGGTTTCCCTTAACACTGAAATGTAAACACGTGTATGAGCTTGATAAAGCTGTGTTAATGTATCGATAGAAAAGTTCAGGGAGAGTGACACAATCGAGTATTAGCCCGATTCTTCCTTCATTTTAAACATAATGTAAGATATTATCTCGAAGCTACGTAGAATTTAAATGTCCCGACTCAAGCCTCAGAAAACACTGTCCTTGTATTAATCTCTTTTATAGTACAAAGCCTGTTACAACTCTGACTACCACTGAATGATAACACTTAAACTATACTCAATGTGTATAGATTGGACATTTAAAGTCTTACACTGACTTGTTCTTTCAAACTCCCAATAGATATTGTAACTTGTTACACAGAATTGCTAAACATGTAGGACAATTATTTTGATTCAATAGCTTTTGAGATTTACTCTTAAAGATATAACACTGTTGCATTCATTTTGGTGCAATAAAGCGATTAGATAAAAATGCAATTTTATAATGAACATTTTGAAGTTACAGATTGTCTTTTGAAAATAACAGTCAATAAATCTGATTTACTCGTTGTAAACTGTCTTTAGTTAACTAACGTTGTGGAGTGGTCATATCGTTTATTGGTCCAATAAAATTTTATTTGAAGAGCGCTCCCTACCCTTGGTGGTTTGTTCTTCATAGGAAGCTGAGAAACGGATCGGTATGTGATATCGTGGCTGTGTCCTTGGGCAAGGCACTTCACTCAACTTGAAATATGACTACAAAGAAATCCCGCCTCAGAATTATACTAGCTGTCCACGTGAAGTTAAACGCAACAAGCAAATATGCAATGTTGTAGTTCCAAAATAATGCTTTACATTCCGCATTACGTCAATGAAATGTGTTACTTTTACTGGATGGGATGTCCTTATGGCCGACCACAGTATACTTCAGTATGGTAACGCTATGAATTCGACTTCAGTTCTGCACCATCATAAGTAGACTACACGAACATATCATAGCCTGCCCAAAACACATTCAACAAATGTCCTCATCCTGCACGCACCGCGAGGCCGTCCTTGAATGACCCTAGCTGTTGATATGACGTTTAACAATGAAAAAAAAGCACATGACGAACAAAACCATAACATTTATTTCCTTATAATGTCATTCTGTTATTTGTCTGTTCCAGGTGGTCCGGATGTATTGAACGACTTTCTGATTGATCTGGACAGACCTGTGATTCATTACTAATGTGAAATAGCGACGCATTGCGCCCTCTCTGTAGGTGAGGTTTTATTGGAACAAGTCATCTTAACGACTCAAGTTGTAAAAGTTGATAATATTGAAATATGAAAACAGAAATGAAAACCTCTGAACAACGGAATACTACTGAAAACACAAAACAGTGTATGACAAATTGAATTATTTAATATGCATATTTGGGAACATATTTGAACAACTTCATATTTTTTTTCAGTTGACAAATTTTTCTCTGAGGCAGATAATAGTGTAAACACAGGTGAAATGTAAGCAATGAGATAACGCCTTATGAAGACTTAATCAATTAATTTACGAGCTGTGAAAATAAAGTGTTGTGATAATTCTAAAAGTAGACACAGGTTTTAAAGACAATATTGATTCTCGATATGATCGTAGTCTTCACGATGGTTGTAATATTCAACAATGCAGTTAATGGTCCCATTCAGATTGGAAAAAAAATAATCGTTAATCGACGTAGGTGAGGTGTTCTACTAAGAGCTGATATTCGCTTTTGTATTTGTACAATCTTTGATGATGCTAGGATGATTTTAAATGTTGTCTGTTTTCCTTTTCTCTTCAGAGCAAGTGTTATGTGTTTCTTTTTGCGAGCGCCTTTTCTGGTGTTTGGCCCTTATGACTTATTGTTGATGGGCTGTTTAGCAATAGAAAACAAAATGTGTTTATAAACCACTATGTCCCGGTTGTAACAAAATTCTGAAATGGGACGTTAAAACTGCATGCACACTTTGTGAAACACGTCTTCATTGCAGTATTGATTTGACCGTTATAGTTGTTCAATAGTGATGGCTAATGTTATTTTTTTCAACTGTAGGTCGAAAGTCACAACAAGGGCACACGATAACAAATTACGGTAGGATCAGAAGGGTCTTGTCATAAGGAACACATCCCAAATATGAAACCCCCACCTGTTACGGTACAATAGTTATGGGCAAGGTTGAAGTTGACAATAGACTAACAAACATACATCACAAAAATAATATGCACCTGATCTTTCGATCCGCGGGCAAAAAAAATCATATCAAATAAATTCCGTAATTGGCTTTACACCAGAAAATACTAAACATTTAGGTTTAATGTTTTATGTGTGCCCTTGACCGAGATTTTTGACCTACATATTAAGCCTCGTGTTTTGACGCAACATGCTGTAAAATAACTAATTTTATTGGGGAAGCTGTGTTCATTGCTATCGTCTGTACCCTTAAGCCTCGAATTCGTATGTTTATAAACAGTTAAAATTACGAAATTAATTGAGCTTTCCATGGAATCAAATGTCCATAAAATAGTAACTTTTGTAAACACGTAAACTGAGCTCTAGAAATTAAAGGACTTTACATGTTTTTGTAGACAAACTGTCAATGGCTTACATTCCTCGTTTGAGATTGTGTCATAAACATTTTCGGGATAGCCACAAGGAAATAAATATATTATTATCCGTGAAAGTCAAATATTTTCCCTCGGCTTTCCGCCCCAGCCAAATCATTCAGGAGTTGATTACCTTGAATTGGAATCTTAACCTTGCTTTATTAGAATATATTTTCATTAGTTTAAGTTTTGTTTTCAGAAGAAGGATGTTATCGACTGGACATTCAGACATGTTCTTTAATTCTATATTCAGCACAAATTTTATTTTTGAAACCCTTCTTTCGGAGCGATTTCTTCTTTTACATGTTCATCGGTCAAACGCAGAGACAATACTGAATGTTACAATATTAAATAGGATATGTGTGGTCAAAAGAAATAGATTTAACATTAAGGGCGGTAATATGAACTGTATCCACACAAACGTTTGCATGATACATTAAAATAACAAGTTAGTAAGTTAGTTGAAGTGTCTACATATCCGAGTTGTCAATTAGATGCAATTTACATATTTCATTACGTCACAGTGTTGGTACATTATTCAATGGCAATCCATGGGTCCTATATATCCAAATTGCTTGCAAAGCTGATTTATACCTAACAGTACAACGATTACAACAATATCTATATACGTTAGTTAGTTTCTATATATTCGTGTAGACAGTTTCTAAATATCCGAGTTGTTTGTCACATTTTCGATATATCCCGAGTTTTTTGTCACAGGTTTTTTTTATATATATCCTAGTCGCTTGTGATAGTCGTTTTATATATGAAAGTTCTTAGTCACAGCTTTCAATACAAACGAGTTATTAGTGACAGTCATGTGATTAATATATCACTGTATGTAAAATATTGTGGCCTCACATACTTTAAAATATAGGCCATTAACATCACTGACGAGTTCCAGATGGATAAAACAAATGTATAATGCAGTTTTATTCATTGTTTGACTCTGCTGTATCTTACTGTAAATTAGTCACGTGTGTGTCACACTATCCAAGGGACTTGTCGGTAACCGATTATCAGTCAGTTCTTCATTGTCTATTCACACGTGACTAGTGATGCCTTGTGTGTTTATTGGGCCGTTAATGAGATCTTAACAAAAGCCATATTGTTTCGTTACAGATAACAGCCATGCCTGCCTCTTCATCCAACGAGAAGCTTTTCTGGGCGGACCGGAAAAACCGAATGGAGAAATCTCGATTAGATCTTCTACTTAAAACCATGGAGAAAGAACAAATGTATGTGACACATGACATAGATCGCGAGAAAAGAGCTGTTGTCAAGGACCTCACCATGGTGCGTCGTACTTCCGGTGTAAGTGATCAAGGAGTTCCGCCACGTAACGAAAACGACACGGACTATCAAAGTGCACCTAACTATCGGACTGGACTTCGTTTGAGTGAACGAAGACTGTTGGAATGGCGCGAAAACGAAAAACAGGTAGAGAAGTTTATGCATCAGTCAGCTTCGGAACTTGCTAAAATCAGTGGAAAATACCGGCATCATTCTTCGTCTGAAGGACACAAACTTCCCAAGAGAGCACAAAGTGCGAAAGGTCACTACCGATCTACATCATCATTCGGTGGTTACACCGAGGTGAAAGTTCTAGACGATGACGTATTTACAAACGGAAATGGACATCCTTCAACGTTAGCACAACAGGCGGACAGTGTGGTAAACGTGGATCCAGAGGAACTAGAAAAACAAATATTTCAAGACTATAGAGAATCAATTCATAAAATACGAATACCATCCACCTCTGACGTGTTGAAATTAAAGACGACACGTCAGGTGCGGTCTGACAGCGATTTAGGTAGGCAAGAAAAGAAAAGTTTGCGATTCAGGCCGCATACAGCTTCAGTGACGACACATACGAAAAGAAAGTCATTAAGAGGTGCATCAATTAGACCCGCAACCGCGTATTCGAAAACACAGGTCAATGAAAAACGGCGAAATTTGGTCAATGCGAACTTTGAAGGTGGCGAAATTGTTGAAAAACCGGCGAAAACACTTATGAACAACTACTTGATCGAACCTGGTGCTAAGCAGGAACGGTTATCAGAGACTAGTGTCTCTATGGAACAAGTTGAGTATGAACATATCGACGAAATGTCTCAAAGCGAAGGTGACGAAAGTAGTTCTAACCCCAGTCCAAGAACCATATCTGATAGGATGAGAGCTCTTATGCCGGAAGTGGAAGATAAGTTAAAGGGTACCTATATCAGCTCGTCTGTTACCATCATCTATGGTGAAGATGGCGTGACGAACAATACGGAGAAGCCGGAGGAAAATGGCGTTGATGACTGTCAACAGGGAACAGTGTTTAACGAAACAGAAAATGAGATGGAACTCGACGGAAACATAGAACCGGATACTTTAGAAAATAACGATTCAAATGAAATATACAGAAACTTGGGTCAAATCCAGGATGAAACGGACGGTGTGGATAAAGTGAATTTAATGACAAAAAATGACGATATTTCTCAATCCTATCCTGTCAATGGTCAACTCAAAATGACTGACCAGGTGCCAATCCATAGTGACAATGGTGATATGGTAGACAGTAGGTATCCAAGGTCACGGCGAAAGGTCAATCGAGTCCTTACGGGGATCGCAGAAGACAAAGTGCTCACAATAGTTGATGATGGAACGTCTCATGAAGTGAAAGATGCAAATCGTAACCATAGTGATGATGTGACGTCTACAGCAACACTTAATTCCACGCAACGTCTGACGTCACGGCAACGACGCACAAGTACTACTAGCTCTCTTTCTCAGTCTGACCGTCTCTCCGGTATGTACAGCAGTATGAGTGACATATACTCTATTGGTTCTGACGGACAGAGACGACCGAGCAAATGGCGCCAATATGTAGCGGCAGACACTGCACCCGTACCACAAAAGAAAATAGTTACGGTGACAGCAGTGGTTCGAGCTGCGCTGGCGTTCTCTAAAATGGCGCGAAAAAGAGCACTCACTAAACTTGTTGAAGAACAAAGCACGGATCCTGTAGAACTGATCCGGCAAGAACGATTGCGTCGTCTGCATTCACGAAATAATATTCTACAGACAATCACTAATTCATGGTCTATGAACGGGGATAACAGTATACCCGAGGTTAAAGAACAAGTGTGATATATTGTAGGACTGGTTTACATAGTCCTCATCTGCTTACTTCCGTGATTGTATATTGTAGTGTACCGTCGCGAAACAATCATCAATGTAACCTTGGTTTGAATGTAGGATATAACCGGGAAAATGTGTTCTCAAGTGTAGTTGGTGATGAGTGATATTAGTCTTTTGCAAGACGGCTCTTTCTTCTCATTAAGAATGCAAGAATTTAGAATCTACAATCCATAAAAATATCGTTGTAAACTGTGATATTGATAAACTATATTTTTATCAGTAATAAAAGACATTCAAAATACAACACTTTTTTGTTAATCTTAAGTACATGTACGAGTGCTGTCGGTGTTTGTTTTAACATTGTGTAGTGTATATTGAACAATTGAAGGACGTTAAGGTCGCTTTAAAACATTTCTACCGATATCCATATATCAAAATTGTCTTTAAACGGTAAATAAATATCGTTTCAATATATATATTATGCTGCTACATTTTAGTCTCCTCTAGACTAGATGATCTTCATGTCGGTTATTAACTAAGAGGGGTTCATAAAACAACATATCCACTTCAACAAAAGTCCATATATTTGTCAATTGTGTCGTCAACCAAGGATTTAAACTCTGTATATAACTCATACCAGACAGATTAAGCGAACAATATACAAATTATGAATGGAATTTCCGATGACGAAATGGGAAAAAAACTCGGACACAATGATGATTCTATACACAAAGTCAACATTTAACCTATACAGAATGACATATCCTTCACAACTACAATCCAGGTCATACACAAATGTTTGGACGATTCCTGGTAACATGGTCGAAAAACATAGACTTTGGTTTCTTCGACCCAAATGGTTGAATATATAAGTATTGATGATATGACGGTAGTTTACCTGGCCAAATTGACCTCAATTGGGACCTCGACTGTCTTTCTAAGGTAAGTACATCAAGGTAGGAGCTAAATACAAAGACCCACACTTCATTTTCCAGCTGAAGTGGTGACGATACCTGTGATGATCATTGTGTGTGACTTGAACACGTATGTATTCAACGTGTTAGCCAAGCAAACTCGAACAATCAATACACTTTTGATATCGATCTCAATACGGTCAATATTAACCCGAAAATGTCCATCTGTTTTGTCAATATGTATATTTAAGTTCTTAAACGTACCATAAGCTTAACTTACTATTTTGTTAGTTTCCTGTTCAATTCAAACACTCGAAATACACAGGTTTATAAAATGACTTGCCATATGAATGTTGAGGAAGATCAACAAATTAACAGTTCGGGGGTATTTTATTTCTTTCCTTAAACATTAAAATAGTCTGGTGACGTCTAAACATCGCTGTGACAAGTATCTCAAGGAAGGCGAGACATCTGAACACTTTTACAAACTTTTTGAAGTTTGTAGCATTGCAGTTATATTAAACACAGAGCTGTTAATTTGAGATCAAATTATTTTTTCTTTCATAGATTTTCAACTTTGACGTGAAAATGTCCGTTTCCTTATTATTTGCCTGAATAATTGATAATGTCATTAAAAAATATTGAAATGTGAAACCCGTCACAAAATTTTTCATCGGTAAAATTAAGAAATTCTCAGACTCGTTTCAAAAATTACATATGAAGTTTAAACTAATGAAAATCCGGATTACAAAATGTTTGAAGTATATTCTAATACTGGCCCCAGTTTCACGAATCTCCTTAATCCAAGGAAATCTTTGCTACCATAGAAAAAACATTACGTAAGTTAAAAACTCAGATTTAAGGAAATTTCCTTAACTTATAAAATGCTTTCCTCCGGGCAATTTTAAGTTCAGGAAAATTACGTAAGTTAAGCAAGATTTATGAAACTGGAACCTGGACAAGAAATTATATTAATATGTACGGTCAAAGTTAGTGAGAAGCGTTTAGAAAGTCCTGTATCAAAACCGGCATTCTTTCAACACGAAAGTTTTCGTATTAAGTGAAATTGGTGAGGTAAACTAGGACACGAAAAGTACCATATACGTCAAAACGTCTTTTTCAATACCGAAGATAACACTACAGTGACCTTTCATGGATTTTTTTATGTACGTGGAAACATTCGTTCGAGGTTATTTTCGCTCTTCCAAGAGAATGTTAGAAATTCGCCTAGTATCAAACTCGCCCTTATACCATAGGAACAAATATTTCAGCTTTAGCAAAAGGTTGAAATGGGTGAAAGTTAGCCATAGGTAGAAGTAGTCTGTGTTTAAAGTACATTAACTGATTTATCACATTCTACAAAGAATGAATTATTACAAGGCTAAGATATACCATACATTATGCATAATTATCTTTGGAATGTCTTGACGTCAGAGTTCTAGTGATGTCATTCCCAATATTTCAGATTATCTTCGTCTTTTAAATTTCGTTTCTAACACGAAATTCCCTTTGCTGTGTATCATCTCATACTTAAGTTACACATGCACTATGACGTTAAATGTCCTAAAAAAGACTTTAATTTGTGTTGCGGAAAAATTCTTTTCACACTGATAAAATTGCACATTACGGTTTTTACTCGGGAACAGTTAAAAGATTTCTAATCAGAAATGTTGCTTGAATTTTTAAATGTTGATCATGGCCCCATTTTGTTCCACTTAGAGAAGTTATATTAGGGCTGGGTTTATTACGTTAACTGAAAAAAAATCAGACATCAAAAGCGAGTTGTGCTCTAATTAAACCAAGACCCTGATAGTTCTATAAATATATACACACAAACACCTGGTCATCATAACCTTCAAATAAGCATTTAAAATCTGAAACATTTAATCGACAATTTCGTTACAGGTAAATAACATACAATTTACTCTTCACACTCCTTCGTAAACACGAAAACATGCGAGCCTGTTATTAACTTTACAATGCAGCCGTCGATATCATTTATTGGTTTATGGGTATTTTATATACTGACATATTCTTCATGTATATATTAATGACATGAAGGTCATAAAGGTCAGTCAGCTGATCAGAATGTTTGGTTTTCAAAGATGTTTTTTTTCTTTAAACGTAACAATTAAAAGTTACTTTACCTTCTTACATGAGGTATTTTTGTTACTTTAAAGCAAAATCTCCCGGGTATTTAAAAGACACATTAAATTTGGTTTTGTCTTTGAATGTGTTTGCTACCAAAGTATAAATTACAGACCTCAGTGTATCTTTGATCTACGCTCAATATTTCTTTCATAACATTTTTTCTCTCCAATTAATTTCTGATCACATGTATTCTAAAGAAACACGTGAGACCAAGATTTAAAATAAGAACAATTCGCATCGACGAACATGTAGTTATCAAATATGAAATTAAAAAAAAAAAGTAAAAAATGAATACACAGTAAGGCTAGTTGACATAATTGCAACAAAATTTTCGAGTTACGAATAACTTAAATATTCTGCGTATTACCTTAAACCAAATACAATAAAACATACATCGTCTCTTATTATTTATCAAGTGGACTTGGAGATAAGAAATCGTTCTTCGTCCGACTGTTCGATGAGCTTTTCCGGGCCACAACTTCAAAACCATTCAACCAACCTACAACTTGGAGATAAGAAATCGGGCTTCGTCCGTATGTTCGAGGACCTTTCCCGGGCCACAACTTGAAAACCATTCAACCAACCTACAACTTGGAGATAAGAAATCGGGCTTCGTCCGTATGTTCGAGGACCTGTCCCGGACCACAACTTGAAAACCATTCAACCAACCTACAAGTCAAGTATTAAAGCCAGCCCAAAAGTTGTGGTTTTTGCAAGATTCCAATTCTTCTTTTGTTGGCAAAACTTTATACACATGGCTAATACCACATAAGTGGTTTTTACTCTTGACAATATTTCATTCTTAATATTTCACTACAATAAAAACAAACATCAGAATTACAAAATTTACTGTTTGTCAGATTTTTTTCTGGGTTACACCTCGGAAACTTTTCTGATTTGTATACGTTGAACAATGAAGATCTACATCATTAAATGGTCGATATGATATTTCTACTTGGGTTTCCAAACCAACAATGAGTTTGGCTCGAAGGTTTAATGCTCTGTTTTGTGGCTCTTTGTTTACAATTCAAGTATCTTCCGTGTTAATTCCTAGGAACGGAAACAGAAACAGGTTTGTTAAGATCAAGGGGAACTTTTTAAGCATGTGGTTGCAGATCTTCCACGTACGTCCTGAATGCTGAATTAAGTGACGGCATCGCTGTCTTGTAAGGGATGAAACTTTCTTCAAGTTCAAGTCCAGTGCGATGCTGAGATGTAAATAGACATGCTGACCAACCTGAACGATTCTCGGTAAGACTTCATCAATATAAATACCAAACGTGTATTTGCACAAGAACAGTATTTGCTAAGAAAATTAAAGTTCTGGTTTGACGTGTGTCGAACACAGGTGTCAGAAAGGCAAGTGTCAACAACTTAATTGGACTTTGGAATTCGGTCGACAGGAGCGACATTAACAATAAATGGACCCACACCGTGCAATAGATATTTCTAATGATAGACCTGTACAGATAACATATCCTTGTGATATCTATTAATCTAATACAGGCGTAGAAATTACAGGTAATTATCGGTAATTAAGGTACGGGTATGTTTAATTATATCGAATATCACGGAATATAACGAAAGATTTTTTCATCTCAAAATATCGCCCGATGTAGATCTTAACTCGGATCAAATTCTTTTCACCATTGTACGTGAATGTGCCTTTTTTTTGGCTATTGATATTAGAACTTGTATGCAATGTTCTCTATTCTATAAATAACATAAAAAACAAAGTCGTTGGCATCATAGTACTGATATTTGTCAATGTTTCGTCGGAAGGTGCATGGACAGATGAAAACAACATAACGACGTTAACAAAATTTTAATTTTAAATCCAAAAGTAGGGATGTCCTTGGAAGCGTACAAGGAGAATGGGACCAGGTGATATTGAAGGGTAAGCGTCTTCTGATACATCGATGACATTGCAATGTTATTCTTGGT